TGAAGCGTGCATTAACCAGGATAACGAGTATGAAACATGCTCCAAGTTGCTTCAGAAAACAAAAAAAGAGCAACAACAAAAGCATGTTGCTGGAAATGGGTTTATTATTGAAAATGCAAACTGCTTGTCTGCCAGCAGGAGGCGCTGTGAGAGCAGCAGAACTAGCGGTTTCTCCAGTAATGGCTGTAAACAAAGCAGCTCCGCTCATGAACGCCACTTTATCAGATAAAAATGCCATCTAAACTATTCTGAAGACAGTCGGTTCCCTTCAGAGATACATTCATATAAAACACCCGCGACGCGTTTTGATTTTGAAACGTGCAGTGCTCATGTTTATTCAACGAAGTCAAACGCCACAAATAAATCAATGTATGGGAAACACTGGTAATGTATATCGAAATATCGGGAATGTGTTTAAAAATCATATCACCGTTATTGAAAAAAATGATATCGCGATACATATTGATATTGAATTATTGTCCAGCCCTAGTTGAACTCCAATGAAAAATTCTTCTGAACATTCATTAATCTTAGGTATTCCAAAATTTAATAACACATAGTTAAAATCGAAAGTTGCAACTGTGTTATTTAATGAGCTAACGTGAACTAAGACTTGTCCAGCCCTAGTTGAACTGTTCTGGAATAGTGTTGTAAATAAAACTTAACCACTGATTTCTAATGGTGTCCTCTTTTGGAAGGCCAAACAAAGTATTCCATAATGCTTCCATAATGTAACACACAGCATTTTCATTAAATATTATTAAGACCAACACTTTTATTTTCATTTAGAATAACATGCACCAATAAAATATGCAAAGATAAAACCAGTAAAAAGCATATTAAAAATAGTAAATATTGCATATTCAAAGTCAACATTAAGTATTTCTATCCCATTATTTTGAAAATTATTTGAAATTCTGTCATCATTTATTCACCCTCATGTCATGACTTTCTTTATTCTGTGAAACATAAAAGGATATATTTTGAGAAATTTTTTTTCTTTCTTTCTTCATACAATGAAAGTAGATGGTCTGCATAAATGTTTGGTTGCCAACATTCTTCAAAATATATTGCTTAGCAAATATTACTTCCATTGTCCTCATTTGTAAGTCGCTTTGGATAAAAGCATCTGCTAAATGTAAATGTAATGTAATGTCAAATATCTCCTTTTGTGGTCCACAGAAACTCTGAAAGCATCTTAAATGAGCAAATTAATGAGAAATACTTTTCCTGGCCATTAAAAAATATATATTATGAAAATATACTGTAACTTTCAAATCTCAATGTCCTCCCCAGTCCAAAAACACAATTTATTGAACCTAAGCTGCAATAAGAATCTAGCATTAACAAAGTGTGTCTAAATCTTTTGTTAATTCTAAAAAATTGCAAACACCAGCAGACAATAAATGGGCCGTTTATTTCATTCTAATCATAAAAGAAAGAAAATTGGAATAAAATAAATGACAAAATTGTGTCACAAAAAAACTAGATTGTAAGTGGATAAAATTAAATTAAATTATACAAGTAGTATGATATGATGCCTTTAAAGTTGCCATCACCTGTTAAGTGCAGCATATGGCACAGTCCCAGAATGATTGTTTCACAACATCCCTCCACAAAAATCTGAGGTCCCATAAACTTTAATGCTGTTAGTACAGAGCACTGAATAACTAGCTGACAAAGCCCTTTGCTGAAACAACAGTGGATACAGCTTTACTTTCACTATAAACGTTGAGGGCTATTTTTCTTTACTGATGGCTGGTATCACTCTAGAGACTGCACTACATCACGTACCAGCCACGTCCTGATTACAGCCACAGTAAAGGAGGAAACTTTACCCCAGGGAATGAGAGTAGTGATCAACTTTCACAGGCCAGTGATAACAGAGAATACAACTTTAATGTACTAATGATGCAATCAAGGTGTTTCAGGTCAGTCACAGTAAAAAGAAAACTTAGCTCAAACTGCCCAAAAAGTGTAAAAAAAAACTAATGTAAACTGAAATTAATGGAACAGCAGTGTCAAGATCTTTAGATAGATCTTTCTAATGCAATTTGATTTATCAAATAATAAATCACAATCAAGCTATATTAGGCTTTAATAAGACTTCCTACATTTAAAACCAAGCATTAAAACTTGTTTCCACTTCCAGTAATTGCTCCAGTAAAAGTATGACTGATCCTTGTTTGGATTTTTCCTGACAATATTTCAGCAATCACATTATGTGTTTTCTATCAGCTGTTTAGAATCAGAAATACCAATGTTGGAATTGCGAATGAATCACTTTTGATACAATTCAGTTCCCCTAGTTAATAAATGGTGACATTTTGTTGATTTCGCATTGTGTTCTGCGAAATCAACAAAATGTCACCATTTACTAACAGAAAGCACGATACCACGTAAAGTTATTGACACGATAGTGTGATAAAGAAACATATGTATGAGAAAATAAACCAAAAAGAAACAAGCGTTCTGCATTTTGTTTTGTTTTTTTCTGTTGTGTATGACTATTGGCCATTTAATGTCATTAATAATATGGTAAATGTGATATGCTAATATCACAAAAAAAAGACATTGCAAATTTTTCACAAAATTCTGAAAGTCAACACCACATAAATCAGTCAGTTTGACTGCAAAAACCAGAAAATTTGGTTCAATAGTGGGACTGCCAATTGATCAGAAAGATTTGCAAAAACATTTGTGATTTAGTTAAATTAATTCAGATAGTTCACTCACGCGCTGAATTAGTGCTGGGCGGTATACCGGTTCATACCGAATACCGGTGTTTATTTTTGTTATGATATGATTTTTTAAAATACCGCAATTCCGGTGTATTTCGCTTAAACAACGTTTGGAACGCGACACTTTTTGAAAGGGGTAGTGTAGTTCGTCTGTTAATATCACATGCACTTTTTTGTTTTTTTTTTAGTTTGTTACTCAGACGCAGGCAGTGCGCTGCATGAGACAAAAAAGTAATATAGCCAAAACAACCGCATAGCCGCTCTTTAGTGTAGATTCATGTTGATTTTATCAGACGATGCCGTGATTACAAATGAGAGTGACTCCTGGTTAACATTAAAAGTGGTCATGTTTAGTCACTATTTAGTGTTGTATTTTTTGACAATATTCACTCATCATGACAGTAAAATAGGTAATTCTAAGTCAATATACTGCATTATTTCCTCTCTCAATCAGTAGAAAATATGGTTAACACCCAGTCATGCATGAAAAAAAAATACAGTCATGTACCGTGAAACCGGTATAATTTTGGAAAATACAGTGATATAAATGTTTGGTTATACCGCCGAGCACTACACTGAATCATTTGTAGTGGTTTCTCACAAAGAAATAGTAACAGGATATTTTATAAGATGCAAAATAAAGAGCACTTGATTAGATTGATAAAGACCTCAGTCAGATGAAAACGAGACCATGAGGGATAGAGTCTTAACAATGACAGACACTGTATACATTATTCCGTGTGCAACTTGTTTACTGCAGTTTAAGACAATGTACATACTTATATCAATAACTGTAAAAAAAAATCAAATAATAATAAAATTAAAAAGTATTAAAATATACTGCAGTACTTTACAACTATAGGACAGGAAGAGCTAAATAAACTTATCACTGCATCTAAACCAACAACATGCCTGTTAGATCCTGTACCCACTAAATTACTGAAAGAGTTGTTACCTGTAGCAGAAGAACCACTTCTCAATATTATTAACTCGTCGTTGTCTTTAGGTCACGTCCCAAAACCATTCAAGCTGGTGGTTATTAAGCCTCTTATTAAGAAACCACAACTAGATCCTAGTGAACTGGCAAATTACAGACCCATCTCAAATCTTCCTTTTATGTCTAAAATTTTAGAAAAAGTTGTGTCTGTTCAACTGTGCTCCTTCCTGCAAAGAAAATGATCTCTATGAAGAATTTCAGGATTCAGGCCCCACCATAGCACAGAAACTGCACGCATACATTTCTGCCATATGTACATTGACTGACAGTCACCACTGATAAGCTACTACTAAATATTGTAAAAACTTCATTTGCTGTAAAGTTGCTTTGCAATGATTTGTATGGTGAAAAGCGCTGTACAAATAAACTTGAATTGAATCGAATTAAACTTGAATTGAATTAAAATATGGGGACGCTTTTTTGATGGGGGTGCCTGTGAAACTATGCCCCTATTTTAAAGCTGAAATGTGCCATTTCTGCACCTCTAGTGTGACCAAATGGAATTACAAAAATAAGGATTGTTCTCAAACAGGTTTCCAAAGCACTTCCCGTCGACCACCATAGCTGCCATTGGTTGGACAAACTGATAACCCCGCCCATAAAACAATGCCATTGGCTGAGACAATGCAGATACACTGGAGATGATCAGGTTTTTAAAAATATAGTATTGATTTTCCAATGAAATTTTCCTACAAATGACTGAATATTATGCTGTGATAAATTAAAGTATTTAACACGGAAAATATACACACTTCAGCTGGATGTGTCACTGGAAATATAAAAAGAGGCTTAAAAATATGAATGAAGCAGAATTGCTGCATCTTGGCTTGATGCAACATACACCTGTGGCATCTGAGCTTTAGTTACACGATATGACCACACTTCCTAAACTCATGTGCCATCATACAGAACTGAATGAAACAATGTTGCAGGCAACTTTGGATTGGATATGACAGCAGTTGTTCTTACCTTACACGGAAACGGCAGAGTAGATGCAACTTTTTCCATTGCCAAGTTCCTTATGCTCGGCGTGAGAGGGCCGCGACAAGTTGGACAACAGCTGAGCTTTTGCCGACATTGGTTACACACCAAATGCCCAGCCTGGCACTGCAAGATCGGAGGCAGCACATAGTCAAAACACACCGGGCACTCAAACAGCGCCGTCAGTTCGGCTGACTGTCCTGCTAGGGCAGCGGCTGGAAGGGATACAGCGGCCGCGGGTACCGTAACAGAGCCCGCGACAGAGCCGGATACCCCCGCGGCGACTGCTGCTGCCGCCGCGGCTGCAGCAGAGGCGGTTGTTCCTCCAGAACCTCCATGCTTACTTCCTCCTGCTTTACCAGCTCCGAGTCCTCCGGCCGCACCACCCGCAGAGGACGGACGGCTCATGGCGAGGAGAGTAGGTCCCAAATGGTGTAAAGCCCAGACGAGTTCAAGCCCGAGAGCCCCACCGTATACTCCTGACTGAAGACAGACTCGGTTCCGAACAGCCTCCAGTCCGCCGCGGATACAACATGGCCGCCATAGTTTGAGAGCGAGTAGCGAGTCTATTGGATGAAGGAGCTTTGATTGACACTCTTTTCAGCCAATCACAGAGCCGCTCTTGACGTTTACGTAAGAGTCGTTGGAATATGTAGTAATTACGTGATGATAACAAATTGGGTAATGCACTGTCATTCTTTGAATCTATAAAAGAAGATATTCAAAAGATAAATTAATATTCTATTACAATGTGCGACCAAGATATTTCTTTAAATGGAGTACTTCACTGCATTAACGATTTGGACCGATAGTCTGAACAAGGCTTAAGTCACCAGGAAAGATGGTTTAATTAGTGAATTTTATAAATATTTTCAAAATGAATTATCACCTTTTTTGTTAGCTGTATTTAGAGAAGCTGCTCGACCAGGTTTTTTTTACCCAATTCACTAAGACAAGGTTTGATAACTTTAATAACAAAGCCCAATAAGGAAGAATATATAATTTTTTCGAAAATTGGCGTCCAATGCAAACATTGATAATTAATAATGATGGAAATATTTTTGCACTTATATTTGCAGAAAGATTGAAGAAATGTCTTGATGAATGGCAATCGGGATTTATGATAGGTTGACACATTTATAATAGTCTATATAATATAAATATATAGCCTATGTAATATTACATTTTCATGAATTAAATAATGATCTAAATTTAAATATAAGCTGTTTCTGATATTGATCTAGGTGTTGGGGACAGAAAACAGCCATCTGCTGGTTAGAGAAAAACCTTTATAAATCACAGTTTTAGAAAGAAAGTGTTTTGATCATATATTCAATAGAGCGCCATTGAGATCCATTCATTTTTCTTGATGTGGCCAACTGCTCCTATTACAACTTTTGTGATAAAGTTGTGATACTTATATACATATAAACATTATAAAATACAGTACATTAAAAATCAATGTTCTTTCAAAGGTTAGAATATGTTGTTGTTTTTTATTTGTTTTGAAGTGTCAGTTTTTGCAAAATGCCACAGAAATTTGAAAGAAAAATGCCACATAAGATGCATCTAAAAACAAGACATATTGTAGATTGTAGTTGCATATTATGTATTTTAATAATAAAAAATAATAATTATAAAATCTTTAGAATTTGGAAGAAATTAATGAAAAAATAATGTAAATAAAATCAACGGCAATATGCAGAAATAAACAGGAGTGCATAACAATAATATTTTTGGGGGAAAAAACAACAACATCAAGGTTTAAAATCAGTAGAGGCATAAGCTGCCCCATTTTATCTTTTCTTTTCATGTTTGTAACGCAAACTCTGGCTATACATATTAAAAGAGATACATTTTGTGGTATTATAATTTTGGAGAAAGAGTTAAAATGTTCTCAGTTAGCGGACAACACTGCCTTTAAAAAAAAAATTAAACTGAAATAAAAAAAACAATGATTGCCTTAATATTTTTTCATCTGTATCTGGTTTTTGTTTAAATATTAAAAAATGTGTGTTATTCCCTTTGAAAATATCTAATTATAATAACATACTTGGTATTCCAGTAAAGGAGATGGTAGGTTATTTAAGTATTAAGATCTGTAAAGATCAAAAGGAGAGAAATCATTTAAATTTTACACCAGTTATTAAGAAAATTTAACAAAAATTAAATTCATGCTTAATGAGAGATCTATCGCTAAAAGGAAGAATCACGTTTAGTGTACACAGCTCTTGCATTAGACGTTCCACAATCGGTCATAAAAGAGGTGGATACTTTTTTGTTCAATTTCATCTAAGAACAGACCAAATTATTTACAAAAGACAGTTTTGTACAATCCAATTGAAGATGGTGGTATTAATGTACTTGCCAATTGTGTATTTAAGGGGTCATATGATGCGATTTCAATTTTTCCTTTCTCTTTGGAGTGTTACAAGCTCTTGGTGCATAAAGAAGATCTGTAAAGTTGCAAATACTAAAGTCTCAAATCCAAAGAGATATTCTTTATAAAAGTTAAGAGTCAGCCACGCCTACCTAAAACGGCTCGTTCTAACACGCCCCCACATGTCTACGTCACGATGTGGGAAGATTTGCATAACGCCGCCCAAATGTTCACGCAAAGAAAGAAGGCGTAACTTTTATTCTCGCTGTAGTATTGTTGTTGCCGCCGCCACCATGTCGTGAAGGCGCTGTGTGTTTCGTTGTGAAAGTGAAACTACTTTGTTTGGCCTTCCAAAAGAGGACGATATCCGCTTCGTCATGCCTGGAGCTGATCCGTGCTGGTTGCTGAGGAAATACATCAACTTTGCGCTGTGGATCGCCGGATCGGCTTTCACCGTGGACGAAGCGGAGTCCAGCCCGGGGTCCGTCACATGTGGTTGCCGCAAGCCCTCCGGACGCTCCTTCGTTGAATCCGCCAGCCGCGCCGTTCTCAAGCCCGCCCGCCTCTGCTCACTCTAGCCCTCAGGCCGTTCCTCACTCTAGCCCCCGGCCTCTGCTCACTTTAGGCAGCCGTGTGTGACGCTGTGTTTCGTTATGAAAGCGAAACTACTTTGTTTGGCCTTCCAAAAATGGACACGACTAGAAATCAGTGGTTAAGTTGTATTTACAACACTGTTCCAGAACACTTCAACCCAAATATTCAGATGTGTGCAGCACATTTTATGGAGGACTGTTTCCTGATCCTGTGAGAGTAGACTACAATGCCGGCTGTTCTGACTCACAGACTGTAAGTATGTTTTTTATATTTAAAGGATTTGCCACTGATGATTCAAACACGAGTTTTGAGCAGTGTAGAGTAGCGCTTGTTGTTTGTCATCACAGTATGGCAAGGGGCGTAACATTTCCAGCTCACGCTTGAGGCATTCGGCCAATCACAACGCACTGGATAGCTGGCCAATCACAGCACACCTCGCTTTTCAGACCGATGAGCTTTGTAAAAATCGACGCGTTTCAAAAAGGCGGGGCATAGAGGAGAAACAATAATGTACAGTATGTGGAAAATAATGTGTTTTTTGAACCTTAAACCGCATAAACACATTTCATTACACTAAATACACAAAATAATGTTCTTTTTCGCAACATCATTTGACCCCTTTAAGAACAAATGGATAAATAACTATACCTGAAATCTAAAGGCAAAATTTGGAATATCATCCCTGAGTACATTTTTGATAAGTTGGGGGGTTTAGAATTTTTATTTTTTTTGGAGGTGCAATTTTGATGTAAACAAGGTTCCGATAAAGCTTTCTTCTTTTCATAAACAGGTTCTTTTTATCTATAAGTCTATCCCCTTATATACAAATCAGTTAAGTATTAATGGTGTGAAAATTATAGATAATAAATGTAATAACTTTTATATAAAAAAAAATATGTAGAACCACATTATTGCCTAATGCAAACCTTTTTGGAATTCATTATATAGCCTAATCAGGTTGAATGGAAAGAGGTCTGGAGTTTACCTAATAAATACTGTCTCACCAATAAAGTTAAAGAAGTTACATGTAAAGTCATTCATTTCGTTTACCCAGTGAGACAAGTAGTCACATCATTTTTTAGAGACTTGGAGACTACATGTGTCTATTGTAAGTTAAAAGAAGAATCCATAAAACACTTATTTTATGAATGTGTATTTACCCAATTGTTTTGGATTGATATTGAATATCTAATATTTAAATGTACAAAATTAAAAATTCAACTCTCTGGTAAAGATTGTTGTATAAAAATAAGAGTTTGGAGCAAAATTTGGTGATTAATTTAATAATCATGCATGGGAAATACCATACAAAAATGCATTAATAATAAATAAACCTAACATTACGTTATTTAAAACTGAAATTAAGCATTACATTGAGGTCTTAAAAGATCTAAGAAATAAAAAAGCAAAAATGATTGAAAAAATGGTTCCCTTGATGCTATGAATGTAATTGATAATAGTTGAATATACTGTGATCCTCTATATATGTATGTTATGTCACTGTTCTTGTTATGCAATTAAAAAAGAAAAAAGTTATTACGTTAGTGACTGTAGTGAAGTAAGCAGCAGTTGCACTGTGGCCCTTCAACACGGCCAAGGATGTTTCACCATTTATGCAATCAGAAGAATGTTGCATTTATAAGCCTCAAATTAAACCATTTTTTGTTAAACAGAATGAGTAGATTAAGTCTAAATAAAAAGTTTTAACAGGGCATAATAAATGGAATGAGGCATAAAAGGAACAAAGGAATGACATTATGAACATGGTTATATTTAATGCCTCTATTAATCCCTCCTCTTTTCTGGTTCAGTAAAGTATTTTTCACTTAGGTGAACCTGCTTGGGATGCACACACTCTAAAAAAAAAGATGGTTCTTTAAAGGTTCTTTATGTGTAGTAACGGTTCTATTTCGAACCATAGCATCCTGAAGAACCCTTTTATGCTGAAATGGTTCTTTGTGTTAGAGTAGGGTTATTTATTCTCATCCTTTTTGTTTTTTAAATCTGTAACTGTCAAAGCTCCTCATTACTGATTTTCTGGAGCTCAGTGATCCGACTACAGTTTGTCAACACACTCTCAGCAGGTAAATGATTTCTTTCTTAAAATGTCTATCATTTTTTTACTTTTAAACTGTAACTGGTTTCCAGTCATGTATTTTTCAAGCGAACATGTAAGTGTGACCAGCTCTGTTCAGTTAAGGATACTTCTTTCCCCATCTCCACTAAGTAACAAAGATATTGAATTTATGGTCCATATTGTTAGATGTATTTATTAATTTGATTTATTACTTGGGTTTATGCATAAACATAACATTGTGAAGCGCTCACATACTACTTTTGGCCTTCATAAACATAATTGTTTTTACATAAACAAATGGAAGGAGGCACATTGTAACTCTAAACTCATTTGTGTATTAGATGCAGTCACATCCTACAACCTCGTCATCTGCAGAGAGAAACTGCCACTCAATCACACCAAAATACACATAAAGATGGACTTACAGGCATCATAGAGGATTGTGAAAATACAGTATTTCACTGGAACTTGGTCTTCATTACACTATTTTCTGTTTCTATTTTTGTTTAACTTCTTTAAGTATTTACGTTAAGTGTCAATTGTCATTTATTAATGTATTCTGCTAATAACGGTTGTTAGATCACTGTCATTTTTGCTACAATTTCACACGTCATTAAATAAAATAAAAGTACCTACTTGACACAACATGCTGTTGTTGTTTTTATGAAAACCTTGATAGACAGATATTATAAGACCAGGCAGATAGGGGTAAAAGAAAACACACAATAGTAATACATAATGTATTCAAATAATATTAATTATATAAATATACTAATACTAATATTAATGAAAATAAACTATCATTAAAAAGGTTCTACACAGCACTTTCAAAGCATGGTTCTTTATGGAACCCTTTAGAAAGGGTTCTATTTAGCACCAAAAAGGGTTCTGCTATTGTTACAAGCTAAAGAATGCTTTTCTGGTACTGTTTAGAACAATTTTCCTTAAGAGTGCACACGAGTATATTCAAACAAATGGTTTAAATTACATTAAAATGGTTAAACTACATTAAAATGAATGTGCTGTTTTAAACACACTTTTCATACATTCTTAATCTAGATGCATTTACATGGTGAAATACACATTTCAGTAATCCGGTTTCCTAATATGTACATCTGATGTGCATTTAACCAGTTAAAAAAAATTATCTCAGAAATTGTGTATATCTCATTTGCTGAATCTACATTATATGATAATTTTTTTCAGCCATCCATACATTCTTCATACATCATTATCAGGATTGATCATTCCATATCAGATGACCAGAAGCATGGACATGCAAGAAGAGTGTCGAAATATTCAATATGTATTATAGTTTACATAACTACATAGGATTAACATTTACATTTTTTTAACATTTATTCCTGGAGTAAAAGCACATGGATCTTTTCCTGTCTAACCAGCGTCCTCTGCTGGAATTTCATTGATTTATTATAATTACATTTTATTTTTATTGCAAATAATGAAAGTAAGCATTAAATTATCTGAATAACTGTCATTGAAATGCTTTCCTTCCACCCATCAAAACGTTTTTTTTATTTATATATATATATATTTTTTTTGCACCACAGTAAACCAACTTAACCACTAAATTTGTTCTATGTAAATACATGATACATTGTTTATTTGGATCCCTATTAGCTTCCTCAGTGGTTGCTAATCTTCCTGGGGTCCACAAATCTGTACAAAATAAGAAAAATCATATATAAATTATGAACAATATATATATATATATATATATATATATATACACACACACACGTGCGCAATTACTGTTTCGTATATTTATGGGAACCATATTCCAAGGAACAGAGCCACGATAAAACAGTCTTTTTCATCAAATTTGTTTGTGGACATGGTAAAGAGAGTTGAGCCTTACTCACTTGACGTGTTTTATAATCATGCCTAAAACCCACATTTACAAGCTTTTCAAAGAAAAAAAAACATGGTGTATGATACTTGATTATTCATACTTACATTATGAAAATATACCAGCAGTCTTAAATGTAATTTATCCTTCACTAACAGCCATGATACTTTTCTATGCATATCAATAACATTGGCCTGAAATGGATAATAAAGCTTTTTTTAAAGGTATTTCTCAGATGCACTTGACCATATCATTGGGCAGTACTCAAGATGCGATAAAACGAATGGCTACACCACATCTTTTAAAACTAAAGATGGAATGAATGCAGAACATTTTCTAGCCACAGCTATACCTTTTCCCATAATGCTTACTCTATGTGTTCGGACCAGGACAGCATATTGTCAAGTTTCACACCTAACAACTTAACATTTGTTACTAGTTCCACTGGCATCCCATCAATAAATAAATTCAATTCAACAGCCTTAGTAATATTATTATGACTAAAAATGATGCATTTATTTTTTTCTATATTTAAAATTAATCTATTCATTCGAACCCACTTAGTAATTGTTTGCAGCTCATCACTTAGGTTTTTCTGAAGCTCAGCTGATGTATGCTGCAGAAAACATTGAAGAATCATCTACATACATAGCTATATTAGCATTATCAACAACATATGGTAAACCATTTATGAAAATAGAAAACAATAATGGTCCTAAACAACTACCTTGTGGAACACCACAATAAGTATTTTTAGCATTCGAAAAAGATCCATTATGAAGCGCTCTCTGTTTTCTATTAGAAAGATAACTTCCTATCCAGACCAGGGCTTTAAGTGAAAAACCATAACATTTTAGTTTAGCCATAAGAATATCATGGTCAATAACATCAAAAGCTGCTGTAAAATCTATAAGAACAGCACCAACCAGTTTCTTATCATCTAGACATGCTAACCATTTATCTGTCATGTTTAGAAGAGCAGTACTTGTGGAGTGTCCTGGTCTGTAAGCATGTTGTGCATTAGTAAGTAATCCATATATATTAAAATATTGTAAAATTAGCTTGAAAGTAATCTTCTCCAAAAGCTTACTTAAAACAGCAAGTATACTAACTGGTCTACAATTAGAACCTAAAAAGTCAGTTTTTTCCCTTTTAGCTTGTGAAACAAACCTAAAAGGGAAATTGTGAAACAAAAAACAAACAATTTATGAATTTATTTGATTTATTATACTTCCTAAAATGAACAATACATGGTAATTGCCTGTTATTGAGTAAGAATCTAAACAAGACAAGACTACTGAAAGGCATTTTCATTGTTATCAATTGCTTATTTACAAAATCACTTCCATACTAGTAAGAAACCACAGTAGGTCATAACGCATCATATTCATCCTCATCTTCATGCTTCCTCTTAAGAGAGGTAGAGTCACTAGATGAATTCTGCGACACCATATTAGTAGTAATGAGGATGTTCTTGGAGCCAATGAGAGAGGGGTTGATGAGGACATTTTGAACCGTGGGAGTGGTAGGAGTAGCTGTGAAAACAAATTAAATCATTAATATTCAAAGAGGTTACCACCGCATGTTCTTAAATCTGTAATTTTTTTTTATTTCTCTTAGCTCAATCAATAGCTTAACTTTTGATCTGCTCACTAACTTGGCACAAAATCTTCCATATGGTCCTCAACATAAAAGAAGATCATACGAGGAGAACTGCTTATTATAGAAACTTAGTACCTGCGGGGTTCGTACACATTTTTACCGATAAATTTCCATAACTTTTGAGACAATATTCATGACCTAATGTTCCATTATTTTGCAAGAATACATGTAAAATAAAAATCTATGTTCAAATTTATCATAGCATATGTTAACTAAAATTTCTATTAATGCTACTTATTTACTTTCTATTTGTTTTAATAATAAGTACAAGCTACGACTGTGCCAGAGGTTACTCCACGCAGAGAACATATCACATCACTGAATATTATACTTGATTTAACCAATATTATAAACTAAGCTCAGGACCTGAAATTCATTTAGGAAATCGTTCAGGTCTAAACAAGTAGCCTAGTATTTAGGTACAGAAATATACAGAAATTAAATTTAATGACAGACGACACAGCTTTATTAGGCTGCTGTCTCTTTAAGACCGACTGCATGGATCCAGTGTACTGATACACAACGGCTTTCTTTCTCAACAACTGCTTACATTCAATTAAGACAAAACCGACTGCGTTTATGAGGATACTCGCCAGGATGGGCATGTTGACAATTCTGTGTGTATTTGCCCGCTTAAGTGCAATAAGCTGTGGAAAAATAACTCAATTTGGTACTCGCGAGGTGTTTGAGGCGGCTTTATGTGCGCGCGCTTTGGATCTGACTGTGAGTGCCTCTGGAGCGCGCAAGTACCGAATGGTTTAAATAAAAAAATAAAAATAAAAAAAAAAAAACTAAAAAGATGTGCAAATGATACGGTTTTATGATGATGCAAAACTGGCCCGATTGGTCAAGTGATAATTGTCAACTGTCCCGAAACGCCAACGAAAGTCTTGTATCGCTGCTCTATTGTAGTGCACACGAGATGCGCTGATGTGAAGCCGTTTTGAGAGAGTGAAATAACTCATGCTGTTTTCATATGACTGATTCGATCTGATATTCTATGTGGATTTATTTACATCTAACCTACATGCTAGATTAAATAAACGTTTGCAGGAATTTCCCGCATAATAAACGTGAAACCTGCAGGAATGAGTAAAAGTAGGCGATATATGCACAATCCCACAACGAAATTCAGGACCTGATTAAAAAATATATTGTATTACACAGAGATTTGTGAAATACATTTCCAAAAATTTTTCTGGGTTTATACATTCTTCCAAAACTTTTCCAGGCCTGGAAATTGCCGTTTTAAAATTCCATGACTTTTCCAGGTTTTTCATGACCGTACGAACCCTGTACCTGATTTGACAGAGGCAGCCTGTGAAGAGGGAATCTGAACTGTAAAGCGCTGGCCGGTCAGTGACACAGGTGTCCCCACTTTTGTCCCCACTGTCTGCACTGATGGTGTACCTGTGGAAAATACAATGATGATCCTTTAAACTGAGTTTTAGATTTTGCACTTGTTCACCACAGAGAAAAAAAAACAAGTAAAATAATCCTCTTGCTATAAGGGAGCTCAGTGAAATGTATACTGGAAATCGTGTGCATGCAAACTCAGATGCTTGAAATATTTGAGTATTCTTAAGTAGTATTCTTTAGAATAACTGACCAAGAGTTGGAGTGCTTGGCCTACTGGACACTGCACCCACACTTAACCGTGGCACTGTTATCCTGCCCGCGGACGAAGACACCTAAACATGCAAATCAAGACCATATCAGACTGTAAATTGTGCCATACATTTTTTTTCTTTGAAGAATCAGCATTCTCACAGTCTAGAAAAACTTGGATATGGAGATGAGGAAGCTGAATTTCAAAAGTTTCTATCAGGCTTATTATACTCAACTGAAACTAGAATAAACAAACAATAAATACAATTTAAACAAAATATTTTAAATAAGCATTTTATTTTAGAAGACAACATTTTCCTATTTCACTTAGTTTAACTTGATGTACTAAAATAACTACAACTGAAATACAAATAAATAAAAACTATACAGACCTTACCAAACAAACAAATAAAAAAAATTTACAAAAACATACAACTAAACTGTTAATATGAAAATGTAAACACAAAACAATAATACTATCTCAACGATACTAAACTGGTTTCTATACAAAAAAGCCCAGAAAATTAATAAAATAACATGCATATTTCTAATGAATAAACATTTGTTATGCAAAGCTCTGTATTATATCAAGAAGAAACCGTGCGTAAAAAAACCCCCCATATATTATATATATCTCAGTGGCGTTCCATCCATATAAGCGGCGAATGCTCCGCATACCCAGGCCATTTGAGAGAATAAGATCACGGGATAATTCATATAAACATCATTATAAGTTGAACCCTTGTCATTTGAAATGTAACTTAAAGCTAAAAGAGTTAGGATTAATTACGTACAATGATTTATTTGCCAAGTGGCAGTAATTTTCTTTAAATCTACCAGTTGCGGTTGTTTCCGGGCGAGCGGATTCTCTGCAGCTTTCTCGCCTCCGCTCTGTTGCTACGAGTCATCAGGATTATAGCGCGTTCTCAGTGATTTGCACTGAAATACAAATAAATAAAAACTATACAGACCTTACCAAACAAACAAATAAAAAATTTTTACAAAAACATACAACTAAACTGTTAATATGAAAATGTAAACACAAAACAATAATACTATCTCAACGATACTAAACTGGTTTCTATACAAAAAAGCCCAGAAAATTAATAAAATAACATGCATATTTCTAATGAATAAACATTTGTTATGCAAAGCTCTGTATTATATCAAGAAGAAACCGTGCGTAAAAAAACCCCCCATATATTATATATATCTCAGTGGCGTTCCATCCATATAAGCGGCGAATGCTCCGCATACCCAGGCCATTTGAGAGAATAAGATCACGGGATAATTCATATAAACATCATTATAAGTTGAACCCTTGTCATTTGAAATGTAACTTAAAGCTAAAAGAGTTAGGATTAATTACGTACAATGATTTATTTGCCAAGTGGCAGTAATTTTCTTTAAATCTACCAGTTGCGGTTGTTTCCGGGCGAGCGGATTCTCTGCAGCTTTCTCGCCTCCGCTCTGTTGCTACGAGTCATCAGGATTATAGCGCGTTCTCAGTGATTTGCTGGTCTGCGGCAGATTTAATGCGGGAGGTAAGCTGTCCGCAAAGCACTCGCCCAAGCGGAAAAATGTGCTGTTGCGGTCAGATCTCGAGTGCGGAAAATCACATTGTGTTTGATGCAAAACCAACTCAACTAAATCAAAAGGAAAAAAAAAACCTGTATATTTTTGTTTTTTCAAGCAAAGCAAATTTCAAAAAAGTCCACTGAAAACATATCTTCTTGCATTTTTGGTCAGAGACAACGTATACTGAAGATATATTTATTAGTAGATATTGTATTTTAAATATTTTTTGGTATTTTGCATGATCTGTTATTGGAGTAGTGTCACCCGGGTGGGAATTTTAACTCCTATTCACTAGGAATAAAAAAAATAATTTAGCAGATGTAGAGACATATAGAGCGGGGGACCCTCTGATTATGTAAACGTTATTTGGCGGTTTTTACTTGGAAAACCAGCTATATTTTGCTTGCATTCGAATAATGGATAAACTTGAAACGATAGAAGGATTGGAGATGAAATTAATTTACAAAAAAGGTAGGAAATGTGCATACTTTTAAATCTACACCTGCCACAGTGTTTCTTAGCTATTTGTGATCCCT